AAGTATAAAATAATATGAAAAAAATATAAAATTTATTTGTGGATCATAGAGAGTGGTTCATTATAGGTCATACCATAAACATATATAGAGCACAGAATAATTATACACCGCAGACTTTTCTTCACTGATCATAGGCCAAGAAGCAGAAAACTATACTTAACCATATGTGCATCGCAGATGATAGATCAAAGCGTAATCAAAAAGCTTAGCTATAGATCAATAACCATAAATTATAGATTCATTCAGTAATAACTGAATCATATTTCATGGATCATAGATTGTAGATCGTAAATTATGGATCATAGCTCATGGATCACAGCTAATATACTAAAAATTTACGTCGTAAGTTACAGATCATACGCCATAGATCACTAACAATCTTATAAAACAAATCATGGGTCATAGCCATGTATCATAGATCTTAACCATAGAATATAAGCCAGAAAATGGAGATAATAGATGAGAAATCCTAGCACATGAATTACAGATAACGTTTCATAGTATATCGATCATAGTTCATAGATCATTCTTCAAAGATCAAGGATAATGGAATATCAAATATCATAGCTCTTATCTATTTCGTTATATTTTGAACCCAACAGAGGGGATTTATGCCTTTCTTTCCGCTCTTTATTAACTTTATAAGCTCTTTGTATTTAAGTTCCAGTAATAAGATATTTGATGAGCTAGAGCTTGTGTGCTCTTTCGATGAATACAAACTCATATATACATTTGACAAAACATTCTTTTTAACTGTTATTTTGTTGACATTAATGACATACGCTTAACTGGGTCGCTTGTCAACCGATGCCTTACAACATAATTAAATGACTGCAAGTAATGGTAGATGTAGTGGTTGTGGTGTTGATGGTGCTTGTGCTGATCTTTGAGGTGCTCTTTTGATAAATACGCGTACACACATATTATACATTTTTTAAACACATATATATATATATATATATATATATATATATATATATATACATATTTGGCCTTTATTCAAGTACTTTGTAATTATCGTCCAGTGCACAGCATGTGATTTACTCGCTATTTGGTCTCTTAAAGGCTTAACATGGCAAGTCATATAATTTCACTTTGTAAACTTTCCAACGCTCGGTCTTAATGACACAACACAATTTGTGTCACAGCACTTTTGATGGCTAAAGTTTTGTAAAGTGGTGCAAAGCGAGAGGAGAAGGGCTGCGAACGTGAAAGTTTTGAGCTTTGCTGTCCTCCCGTAATGACTTGTAATGTAAAAATTAATGGGTAGATGTGTATTTCCCTCCTGGTTACGGTCGAGTATGCTGTTTAAGACAAAATTGCGCATCATGCTGAGAAGTGGAAGAAGTTTTCTTAATTAAATATACAAAAAGATAAAAATTATGCCTATTAAAAGAGTAATTTTAGTTTTCGAAGACGTTTTCACAACATAAATCATAAATCATAAATCATAAATCATAAATCATAAATCATAAATCATAAATCATAAATCATAAATCATAAATCATAAATCATAAATCATAAATCATAGAATTGAGTTCAGTTTATTCACAGCCAACTGTCAGGAGATTTCTTTCCTAACGAAGTCCTACAACGCAGTTATTGAAATTTTAGCTGCGTAATTTCTGCTGCGAAAGCCGAAATAACCCAAAGTTATTTCCTTTCAAGTCACATAAATTGAATTCATAATCCAATAATATTTATCTACTCCCAGCTTCCAATTAGAGCATTCTCACGACGTGCGGCGAAATCCGCACATTTACGCGCCCTGAGAAAATTGATACGCCACCATTTGTACTTAATTGCTTTAGCACTCAATTTGGAAGCACTAATTTTAGGCAATTTATCGCTTAACCCCAATTCTCTAGGGGATTAGCATAAATAATTGGCTGAAGTCAGTAAGTAATGGCAACATAATTTAGAAAGTAGACGAAAAATTGTGAAAAAATTAAAAATAAATTTCATGTTAAAAAATTTAAAGCGAAAAGTGTACTTGAAGTATGGGAAAAGTAGTTGTGTATACACATATACGAACACATACATATATCCAATGTAAATTTGAGCACTGTGGCGTATACGTAATCAAAACAAATGCGCTTTTTTCACACCAAAAATAAACATCGTGAATCGATGAAAGTGGAATTGGAATGGAAATCTAAGACTAATGGTCAAGGTCTCTTCAAAAGCAAAGCTTTCTTAAAATACACCCATATATATATACATATGTATGTATATAAATATAAGCATATTGTAGAAGTGTCAAGTAACCAATACAAATACTTAAGGCGTGGAAAATCACTGAAAAAGTTAAATGTGGTGCAATAAATATCCATCAAATACAAATGAAGATGTGAAGCGAGGTTTTTGGTAAATACGCAAAAAGCGTACAACACAACAAATGAGTTTGATTGATTTGTTGATTTGTTAGAATTTGCTGTTTTTATAATATATAAGTGAATGCATGTGAATGTGTGTGTGTGTGTGTCCGTGGCTGTGTGCTTACTTACGGAACTGATGTTTTGCCCGAAGAAAATTGTTGTTATAATAGATGCGTTAGGAGTTGGCCAAATATTCATTATTTCACATGAAAAAATTGCACAAAGGAATTGCTGGTGATTTTTTTACATTGTTTTTATGCAAAAACTTTTATTATAACGTCAAACAAACTTTTATGTACATACAAGTAATAAAATGAGACGCATTAAAATGTGGAAATACTGAATTAACTTCAAGTGATATTTAAAAAAAAAAAAAAATGGGCAACACAGCCTAAGAACGTTTAAATCCAATAAAGCAAATTTGAGATTTTGCTGCATCAATGAAATACTTTTGCAAACAATAACTTAAATTACAACGAAATATTCAGCTGCGAATTGGACAAAATATAATCTTCCGGAGCAAAAGTAATTATAAATATATAAGTAGAACCTGATACTGAATCCTACCTATACATTTTTCAGTCAGTTAACGCCTGAAAGTATAGAGGATTCCAACACAACACACTAACCAAGCTGTTAAGAAAAATAGCGGCTAAATTAGCGCACTTAATAGTTGTTGGTTAATAATGAATTGAATAATACAACAACAGATTATATGGCTGATGTTGGCGCAGTGGTAGAACACTAGCCTGTTAAGTCAGGATCTGTCGGTTCGATCCATGCCATAAGAAGTCTGATGAGGAGATGTGGTGATCTCCGAAACAGCTGTCACTTCTACCATTTTTTCTTTGTTGTATAACAAATATTCAATTCATACAAACTACAAGGCCTCGTAGGTTACTTAATAAAAATTAATATATAGCATGGCCGCAAAAACAATTATGAAAATTGGCAATGTTGAATTAGGAATTGAAAAATTTACTTGTAAACCAATAATTAAGTAGCTTTCTTTCTTTTTCATTTGCTGTTGAGCAACCTAATTCGATACGTGGAGTCAAATGAGCAAAAATAGCAAATGTTGCTTAAGCAACTAGATAACTTTCTAGAGTACTAGTAATAAAATAAAACAATGAAAAAGGTTCCAAGAAGAAGCATAACCTATACATGTAACTGCAAATAAATATGCATAAGTCATTTCAATAGCAGACATGGAAAGAGTTTCAAAACATAATCCTAAAAAATTTCCTGGTTACCCAATATGCTGCCATGACAACGGAATTTTTGAATGGCTGCTCTCGTCGTTGAAAATACTGAAACTACATATATAAATATAAATATATCACTTTGTTCAAATAACAACTCAAAATCTCAAAAGTTTTGCAACTGTTGGCATCTTGAATGCGTAAACGTGTTAAATTTGCAAATTCATGACATGTAAATGACGCACAAATTTATATACATTAAAGAATTCTGTTTAGTAACTATTTTCTCTTTTATTTTACTTAATTTTATTTTCTTCTAATTTGTTTTAAATTATTTAATTTTTTTTCTATTAGCTTTATTTTTTTTATATTATTTTGTAGTATATTAATTCTTTTCATTTGAATTCATTCCATTTTTTTATTTTATCTTTTCATTTTGTTTTATATATTTTATTTTGTTAAATTTGATTTTTTTTCATTTTATTTTGTTTTAGTTATTTTATTTATTGAAACTTAATTATATTTCAATTTGATTTCTATTTTTTTATACTAGTGCATTTTATTTAAATATTTTTATGTTGTTTCAATATATAAATTTTTTTTCTAATTTAAAAAAATTTATTTAATATACATATAGATATATATTTACTATTTTATGTTAATTTTTTATTATTTATATTTATTAAAAATTATCTTTTATTTTGATTTGTGTTTTTACTATTTCTTATTCTTCATTTTATTTTGTTTTATTAAAATTGCTTACTTTATTACAGTTTATTTTATTTTAGTCCATTTTATTTTTATTTGCTTAGATTTTTATTATTACATTTAACTTAATTATTTTTAGTTTATTATATATTAATTCACTAAATTTTATCAATTTTATTTTGTTTATTTTTTTTATTTTTTATAATTATTTATAATATCTTCCTACTTTATTTTATTTAATCTAATGTGATTTTAGTTTATTTCATTATTTTTTATTTTATTTCGTTTCATTTTGTGTTCTTTTATTTTTTATTTTATTTCGTTTCATTTTGTGTTCTTTTATTTTTTTTTAATAATTTTAATTTATATAATTCATTTTATTATCTTTATTGTTATTTCATTTTATTATATTTATTGTTATTTTATTTTATTTTATTTTATTTTATTTTATTTTATTTTATTTTATTTTATTTTATTTTATTTTATTTAATTTTATTTTATTTTATTTTATTTTAAATTATACTAAAAGTTTCATGTGCTTTCTCCCACTCTCTCCTGTTCTCCTGTTTCACATATATCTCATAATGACTCTAGAGAGCCAATCTAACTGACTCATTATCTTTAACCAACTATAAATATTTATCTGTCATAAACTCGTTTAACGGGAATTCTTGTATTAATTTTTGTTTACTTTGCTTGCTGTTTTTTCCAGGAGCTGGTTGCCATCTCGCCGGAACGACGTAATTGGCGTGGGATATTTATAGCGTTGCTGGTAATAGCAGCCGTTTTTAGTCTCATTATATTCTCTATTTTCCTGCTGTCGCCAGGTGAGTGTATTTAAATGACTATAAATGTGAATATTGTGAATATATGTGTGCATAGTAATAATAAATATGTATGAGTACATACATAATACATAATAAGCGTTATACCCAAAGGTCACTAAAGAAATTTACCGCGTTGGAGGAAAATGGCAGAGTTTCCAATGAAAATAATATACATATCAATACAAATAAATTAAAAGTTTCATATATATATGATATATGTTTACATTATACCAGCAAATTTCATGTGTAGCACCAATTTTTGTTAGATTTTCACTTTACTCAACCTTTCTCTTAATCACCCCCTCTCTCGCTCTCTCTCTCTCTCACATCAACAACCATTCATTAATTTTCCGCATTTAATTGTCATTTCTAATTTGCATATGCCTGTAGAGGATGAAGGGTTGCGCATACGCGGCCGTCACATGGTGCTGACTGATATTTTAGGCAAAAGTCTACAGTGGAGGCCCTTCAATGGCACTTGGAGTAGTGGTAAGTACGATGGAGTGTAGGAGTGCGTGTTTATTATTGTTAAAAATTGTATTTGAATTTTTTCGTTTTGTTTTCACTTGCAGATAGCGAACTGATATATCGCGATCCGACAGGCGGTTTGTCGATATTAAATTTAGATAATTATACAACGCGGGTCCTAATGACCAACTCAACATTCGTAAGTGAAGCTCGTCTATATTTATATTTGTGCATAAAGATATGTTTATTATATATATAAATATATGTGTATATATGTATATGTATTTAAATTCTTTTTCTTTCACTTTCCTTTCACTCGCATAGCGGCAATTGAATGCTGAATCATTTCTCGTATCGCCAGATCAAAAATACGTACTTCTACAATCGGATGGCAATGTGGAGGGTTCAAGGTGTGTGTGTGTGCGTTCTCTTTTTCGAAAATATTTGCAATTTATTTGTATACAAGGTTATATTCGTTTACAACACAGCCTTACATGCATAAACACTGAATATATAGTGTAGGAAGTTTGTTTCCTTCATTTCTTTTTTACAATTCTGCAAAAAACAATTAAAATACAAAGAAATCGTTAGCGGAAAGACACATCCAAAGGCCAATAACCGATAAATTGTTGTTATGTTTATGGGGCATTTCACAGTTAAGCGCCTGCATTTCGAAGCTTAACTGTACTGGAACTGTTTCAGTCCATATATTGTTGTGTAATTGTGAAAATTTTTAGTTATTAGCAGACTGATTTTCATTTATTAAAAATTAATTATTTCTTTCTTTGAATTACTCATAAAAATATATTTAAATGCAATTATGGTTTTTTTTAGACTTTTATTTTCGAAAACTTTTTTCCACTATTTCTCAACTCCATTTTAAGTCCAATAACTTTTTTCTTCTTTTTTTGTCAAAAAAATTAAGTGAAGCTTCTCTATATTTGAAAAATTAAAGCACTTTTTAAATTTTTCATTTTTCTATTCGAATTTCACTTTCCAAATTCGCTACTTTTTTTTCGCAGTTAATTCAATTTTTATTTTGCATAAACTTTTGATTAGAAATTCTTTTTTTTCGTTTCTTTGAGGTTTTTAAATTTTTTAAACTGTTTGAATTAATTTTTTTTTTTTTGGGATTAATGTGTGCCACTTTTGTAGAATTCACGCCAAAATATTTCATTTAAGCTTTAAGAAATACTTTTAAATTTTTTTATAAAATTTAAGCGAAAATTGCTAAAAAAGTTTTAATATGATATTTGATTTCTCAAGAAGAATCTTTTTTTTTTGGTTTTGGAAGAAAAAGTTACCGTTCATAATAGCGTTTTTTATATTAATATAAATTTTTCATCTGATTTTTATTTTGGAAAACCATTTATCAATTCAATTTGCATTCTAAATTTAATTGGTGATAAAATATTTTATCACTTTATTTTCAATACATTTTTAAAATTTCAATTCCTCTTAAATTATTTAAATCTATTCTTTTGTTTTGTAATTTATTTTTTTTTTTAATTTTATTTAATAATTTCTAATTAACATTTTTTTTTATTTTCTTTAATTACATTTTTTTTGTTTAAGGTTTTTGCTTTTATTTTATTATTTTTTAATTTAAATTTTATTATTAATTAATTTTTTTTTTTCACAATTCCCAGTGAACGTTTCTTGAAATTCCCCCAACCCAATTTTGCTATGTCCGAATAATAGCAGGAATATAATTTACATAAAATATGACTCAGGAAATGAATATTCCTTTGTTAAAATTATGCCCGCGTGGGCCACATGGCGTATGATAAACATTTGCGCAGAGGCTGGATTGACATACACACATAATACACGCAATTAAATAAAAAAATTTTGGAAAACAAAATTTTATGGCAACGCTAAATATTTTGCGAGCAGCATACATACATACATATGAATATTTATTTACTCTAGCACCAAGATAGCAAGACCCACAAAGACGCTGAGATATGTATATAGTTAAAAATATACTGACAAACTATTCATTTTATATGAGAGCAGATGTAAGAGGCCACAAAATGTTTACGATTAACATCACTTTTTAGCTATTTTTTTTTGAATAATTTTTTTTATTTCAATTTTTTTCATAACTTCTGCAACCACAACAACAACAACAGACACCACGTCTACGAAGTACAAACAGCGAATACCTTCCCGCTCGGCCCAACAGAGAATATCGCCGAGCCGCCACGCTTACAGTATGTCACATGGGCACCCAATCTGCCGCCCCCGCCAGCCACAACTAGCACCACTACCACTACGACCACAACAACAACAACAACGACAACGACTACAAAAGCGCCAGTAAGTACAACCACAACGACGGGCCATGCGCCGTCAGCCAATAATGGATCTGGCAGTGTCGGCGGTGGCAGCATATTGCTCAGCAGTTTAGCGGGCGCAACAGCGGCTGGCGGTGTCGGCGCATCCATCAGTGGCGTTGGTAAGCCACCGCCTAGTAATTTTCAATTTCCAAATGGTGGCGCTGTCAAAGCGTTTCCACAAAATCAGGCAATCGCTTTTGTTTACGAGAATGACATCTACTACAAGCCGAAAGTTCAAGGCGAACTGGTGTGTCGCATTACAACAACAGGTGAGTGAGCGTGCAAGGGCGTACGGAAGTTGAGGAAACACTTTTCTTTCACTGCACTTCTCTCTTGTGCTTGCGAGTACATCAGTTCTAGTTTCTTGCGTTATTTGAATCTTTTTCGAAGCTCTCTTGACAAGCTCGTTCAGTGACTTTGCCGGCTTTCTGGTTTATTTTCAACTCGTTACATCTTTTGTTTTTATTTTTTCTACTTCTTCTACTTTTATTGTTGTACTCTCCTCTGCCAGGTCGTGCTGGAATTGTCTATAATGGCATCCCGGATTGGACGTATGAAAACGTGCCGGAGCTGAATGGGCGCAGCAGCGGCTTAGCCTTTTCGCCGGATGGTCTATTTTTAGCTTTCCTTACATTCAATGACAGCGAAGTGAATGAATACAAGTGAGTAGTATTAACATACATATATGCTTATATACATATACATATAAATAACATCTTATGCATATTTAAAATGTTGTCAAATGTATTAAGGAAAACGTGGGTTAATAATTATTTGCATAAAGTGAAATTTGTCGTTGTTGTGATCTCAATCACGTAGGCCGCTGACGCAAGCAGACGTCAAAGATTTAATATATTTTTCCCCCCTAATGTCAAACCATTCTGAGTACTTCAAATTGGGTTTGAGACATCGTTGGCCCTTTGAAAAGTACCTGTGAGTGAAGAGAAGGATATATAGAACAACAAAGTCTTTCAAGCAATAGCTGTCGTATGGAGGTTACCCAGGTAGGGTTCTTTATGTAAAGAGCAGTTTTAACCTTGCGGTAAAAAGCTCTGTAAGCTCTTGAAGGTCTCAAAATCTATGTTTCAATGACTGACAAAAATAATCGCAGCCAGTACCGCTAACAGTCGAGAAGAAAGAAGCCCCCACCTTCAATAAGGAGAACCCCGTTCCTTCCCATTAGTCATTTTTAGAGCCGCCTGTAAGACTGCAGGGTATTACACCTAGCTTGGATGAGGTTTAATTTAATTTCTATGCGGCAAGGCCGTATATCAGCACGAACACCTTAAGTGGGCAGCTTAAAAGAAGGCCTTGCCTTTAAATGAGTCTGTGGAAACAGTTTAACTAAGACTACAGCAGCTTTTTTCTCCTTCTTCCCTCTATTAAACTTAATTCTTAGCTCCATTTTCCATCACATAGTGTAACAACCTTCCCAACTAGAGACCATAGGGAAGCTAAGAGAATGGACTTGCTTTTTTATTTCAAATCTAGCTCTTAATATCCTCAGCCCGTTTTTCTCTTTTGCCGTTTTCTGATGCTCTAAGCACTGTGAGCTTCAATCTTTGATTTATCTGTTTCCATTATTGGATCCAAACCCTACCTGGAGTGAGGAGATTATAAAGCTTCCAAAACGTTTGGTCAATAACATTTATGAAAGCAGACTAATCCCGATCTACTCCCAATCTACTCCCAAACAAGCAATTATTAAAGCAATATTGCTTCAGCCAGTTTTCATCCTTCATATCCATACCATGAAGACCGAATCTCAAGCTACAGGCTCTCCAGTGCTCTCTAATTATAGTACGCTCGGGTGAGTTGTGGAGCTTAAATGCTAGATTCTATAGGATAAAAGTCTATGCAGCTTCTTATTTCAGCTTCTCGCCTCTCATACGCATTTGAAGGCCTTTAGCTTTGCCGAAGACCTAAGGTTTAAAATATCAATACTCCATATAAGACTCTTTTGATGCACTTTGAAATGAAAGGCTTCGGATCTGCCCCCCTTTACGCATAGCACCCGACTCATAAAGCTATTAAGAGATACGGGTTAGTATTAAGCACAATAATTGCTCATAGTATCTTTAGATATAATGAAGACTGAGAGGCCTGCTCTCAAAAGAGCTTCTTTCCCGTTATTCATTAATATATTTTATTTTCCCTATTTCCCTCCTTCCCTCTTTTCCTCTCCGCGAACTACAGATACACGTGGATGGGCGATGATATCAAATATCCAGCGGTCCTCACACAACGCTACCCCAAGGCAGGCGAAATCAACCCGAATGTCACGGTGAATGTGGTCAACCTTTCCGTCCTCAAATACATCTTCCCCACACAAATCAAACTTCCAGCCGATCTCACGAACGGCAGCTACATTGGCGCGCTCACTTGGGCTACACCAATCGACCTCTCTGTGACGATAACAAATCGTGGTCAAACCAAAGCCGCAACGGTTATATGCCGTGCACCCGAGTTCAATTGCCAAACTGTGCATACAGAGGTGACCGTGAATGATGGTTGGGTGCTACCAGCCGAGCGTCCGATTTTCTCCGTACGCAACAGCGCCAATCTCAAACGTAACCAACAACAATTGCTCGCCAATGGTGTAAATGGCAATAGTAGCTTCCACAATGTGAGTAATGGACAAACCACCTATGAAATATCAAATGGCGGTTACCTACTCAAACGTCTTCCTGTGCGTGATGGCGAGCATGGACACTTCCGGCATGTTGTCTTCATTTCCTCGTTGGATCGACGACCGGTGCCACTGACAATGGGTCGTTTCGAGGTCACCGAACTTTTGGGTTGGGATGAGGCGCATGATGTTATCTACTTTATGGCGGCGCCGGAGAAGCGACCAGGTGAAAGACATCTCTACAAGATAAGTCTGAAGCTAAATGAGACGCAAAGCAATCGCGCGTACATCACATCAACGCAGCCGACTTGCTTGACCTGCGACAATACCGTCTCCACTTACCGTTTAACCGCGCAGGACATACGCGTAGAGGATGGCGGTAATCGTAGTGATGACGAGACAGAGTGCTACTATGACATACCCAAGAATTGTCTATACAATAAAATCTACTTCAGCAAAGATTACTCGTATTATGTGCAGGAATGTTTGGGACCTGAGTCACCTAGCGTGTATTTGGTGGACACACAGAGCAATATGAAGACTTTCATACTGAATGCTGGACACAGTTTGCGTTATCGTCTACTCCAGCTCGCACTGCCGCAGATACGTACCTTCAGCGTGGAGATACGGCACGGCTTTCACGCGCAGGTACGTCTATACTTGCCGCCGGGTATGCGCGAGGACGAGGAGGTCGCCTTTCCGCTCATATTGCACATGTAAGTGAACATAAAGTCACTACTTCTATATACCAGAGGATGGCAATGAGAATAATGAGCTAACATTTTTCCACTTTTAATTACAGCAATGCCGCACCTGGCTCGCAGCTGGTGACTGAGAAGTATCAAGTCGACTGGAATTGGTATCTGAGTAGCCAACGGTCTATGATTGTGGCGCAAATTGATGGTCGCGGCAGTGGCTTCCAGGGTGAACTACTACGTACACAAGTGCACGGCAAGCTGGGCACTGTCGAGGTAGAGGATCAACTGGGCGTATTAACGTAAGCATCCTTTATTAGCTTGCACGTGTGTATGCAGAGTGCATAATAAGCTCACACGTGCACTCGTTTAGCTGGCTCACCTATCTGCACCCACTGAGTCTGTGTTGCCAATCAAAACTACTGCAGACTCATTGAGTGAATTATACTTCCTTCCCGCAGAACTAAACACTTTTTCTCATTCACCAAACTTGTTCTTTTGTTCTTCTCTTCTTCTTTTTTAGTTACCTGCGCGATAATTTGAAATTCATTGATCCGTCACGTATTTGCGCCTACGGCTGGGGTTACGGTGGCTACGCGGCCACCATGACACTCATCGATGATTCACATCAGGTTCTGCAATGTGCGGTGGCCGTCAATCCGATTGTCTCCTTCGGCTATCATTGTAAGTGTGCAATTTACAGTTATGTTCACCTTGCTTAGTTATCCCCATCTCCCCGCGTCCTAATTTTCATTTAAACTCATCGTTTGTCTCTTTTTTTCTATTGTTGCTTTGTGACTCTTTTTGTAGACTCGTTTTTCACCGAACGTTATATACCACTGAGAGGCGATTACTTGCGCGCCCTGCAGGAGGCCGACTTGACGATGAAGGCTGGCAATATTAAGGGCCGCAATTTGATGTTGATACACGGCACGGCGGATAGATTGGTGCATCAGGAGCATACGTTGATGTTGGTGCGTGCGTTGGTGGATCAGCAAGTGAAGTTCCGGCATCAGGTGAGTGGATACAAGTTTTGAACAAACATAAATGCAATTAGTCATTGTTTGGGTAAGAATGGAAGTTTAACAATCTAAATAAAATGAAGGGTAAGAATACAAGAAAACTTCGAAGTCCCTCAGCAAAAATGTACCGCAACGGAGAAGTTTTTGGTAGATTAAGTTCAGTGGAAGTAGACTATTTAATAAGACCACCGAGCAGGCTCACTGTTACACACTCGAAGATCTCTCGAGATCTCTATCTGATGGTACGTCCAGTCTCGCTGCGACCTACGCAATAAGAAGACTTCGTATGTATGTTTGCCACGTTTAATGGCACTAAGCTAGCCATAAATTCAAAAGAACTTTAATCGAATCTATGCCAAGTGTACTCTTTGTGACCAACAAACTTACCTTTAAAGACGAGCTACGTGAGCTAAATGAAAGAGTGGATTAGATTGATTCGCAGGTGAGCGAATTATGCATATCTGTGGCATCTAATTCGATGATATGTATTGACTTAAACGAAGTTAGGTCGCTACAGCTTGGTTCAATTTTCCAAACATCTACCAACAGCTGAAACATCTCTCGGGTTCATCAGGAGGGAAGTACTTAACTTTGCGGACCTGGTTTAACACTAACAACAGGAACCACATAATATTCAAATAGATTTTATTAACCTACTTCATTTCTCTCCGTCATCCAAAGCCATAACAGACGAAGAACTCAAGCTGTCTTGCGAAACCCGTGCAATACTAACACAATTAAAGCCTGAATACCTGAATGCAAGACCAGTATATTTTCTGCCTTCTATGAGTCTCCACTCGGTACTAACCACCTCATTGCAAGTCCACTTAAGCTCACCCATCTATTCTCCCTTTCAGCCGAACCCGTAAAAATAGCTCGTCTCCCGCGTTAGATGATCTCGCTGACAATGACAACAAAAACAAAACTCTCTTGTGTGCTCTTGTACTGCGATAGTACTCCGTGTTTTATACGTATTGTTGCACACCGAGGAACGAGTGTCAGTCATGCCAGAGATCCAAGGATTTCATTTTTTAATCATACTCTCCCATTTTGGCTCTCTGAGAGCATTAGTTAAGAACTCGATATAAGAAAAAGACATTTCCAGTGGTCTAAGATGCAAAGTTACTTTCGGCCGAGCTATAACCAAAGTGCTGATAACGACGAGTTTAAGTACGTGGCTTATAAAAAATATTAATTTTAGCTCAATATTTTCTGCAGGCAGAATATTCCTTTAGGACTTGAAGCACGCACTAAAATCTCTGGATTCTATAATTTTTTTCTCGGCCGAACTCATTGGTATTCTGCTTTCGATCTAGTTTTTTTTTTTTATAATTTGTGATACTGACATGCTTAAGATGGTCTCTAAGTGCCTTAGTATGTGTTCTATATATTCCCAGCCGAACTAAGTAAAAACAGGGCAAGGTCTGCTATTCATCTGCTACAAGTTAATGGTTCCAAAAATTGAATTTTTACTGAGCTAAAAACTTTTTTGGAAAAAAGTCTAAAATTACCACAATTTCCAGTTATTTATAGAAACTTTGTTTCTTTCTTCTTACTCTCCCTCTACAAGGTCTACCCCGATGAGGATCATCCCATGACAAAATCGCTCAGTCATGTCTACAAAACAATGGAATGGTATTTCGATGAATGCTTTGGACCCAACGATGATACCGAATGGGATCCGACGGGATTGTTCGTGTTCAAACAATAATTAATCTTTCGAAATGAAGGCGAAGCGCTTTATTTGTAGAAGTTGGCTTATAATAAGTACAATACAAATACATACTTATGTATGTATGTAATTAAAGAAACTAGTATGAGATAAGAAAAAGCTTCAAAAGTGGAGATGCGAACGTTGCTTAAAAGAAGGTGAAAACAAATAAAAGTGCATGCGCAGTAATGTATGTATGTATGTAGATATATTTGTAACAATGGTAAAAAGTGCTTCGGAAGTATGAGGATATGAGCATGGGTACATATGTATGTATGGTTTTGTAAGGGCTAGAGCAGGCGCGTTCTATACTTTATGCTATAGAAAACAATACAACAGTTTTTTGCATTTCAAGAAACAAAAGAAAAGAGATTATATTAGTTTTTTGTATTTGTAAGCTAAGCAAAAAAAAAACTATGAATAACTAAAATAAAGCCTAAAAACATAAAGCAAAATAAATTATAATACCCAATATAAAATATATAATATAAAATATAAAATATAAAATATAAAATAAAAAATAAAAAATATAAAATATAAAATATAAAATATAAAATATAAAATATAAAATATAAAATATAAAATATAAAATATAAAATATAAAATATAAAATAAAAAATATAAAATATAAAATATTGAAATATAAAATATGAAATATGAAATATGAAAACATTGAATTGCTATGAAGCAAAAATAAAATGCAAGTAACGTGATTAATTTGTGTGACTGATTATTGAAATATGCAGAAATAAATTTAAATATTATTAAAAAAAGAAATATTATAAAAATTAAACGATTTAAAAAAGTAATTGAAAAAAAAAATTTGTGAAAAAGTAAAAGCTGGAAAAAAAATTAAAATTTCTGTACCAAAAATAATAAATGACAAACAATAAATTTCATAATTTGTTTAATGAGAACAAAAAGCTCCCTAAATAAGTGATTGCATTCAGTTAACGGTTTATCATATTTACAGTAAATTAATTTTAATTTACTATTAATTTTTTATACTCATGCAAGCAAAAGCGTATCACAGGCGATTTAACGTAAACGCTTTCAAAGCAAAAATAATTGAAAAAATATGTATATGTATATGTATATATATGTATTTATTTACAATACTGTATTTTTTAATTGATATGCGTGCTCACGTATACACGAAGAAAATGAATAAACGCAAAACAAATGCGTCATAATTATTTAGTATAAATATTTTATTATATTTTTTAAGTGTTTCATTAAGAATATATTTGTATGTGTAGGTGTATTTAAAGTTGTGTAAATTAAGCAAATAATTGTCTGTTTATATGTATATTTATATGAGAAATTATACACATATTCAGTGAATAAAATTTATATTAAAATTGACTGAATATTATTTTTTATATATTAACTCTATATACTCTGTGCACATATGTGCATACATATGAGTATGTACATATAAGAGTATTATTATTATATTTATAAAATATGAATTGAAATAAGTTTATGTGTATTTACGTTTTTTAGTGGCGTATAAAAACTTTAATTTATTTGCTTATATTTACAAAATATTTATTTAGCTTAAAAAAATTGTTATTAAATTGCAGAATGATTTTGGTTAAATATATATTTTTATTAGCGGTTATTAAGCATTAGCGATTTATATGGTAAGCCATTAGATATATTATCTGAAATTTTTAGATTTTTTTTTTTGCATTAAATAAGATTTTCTATTATGAATGTATGTGTATGTCTGTATGCGTGTTTGTTCGTATTTATATCGTAGAAAGAAACGATAAATTTTTATGTCTTGTTCATTATATGTATATAAATATTTATAGCTAGTGATATGCCATACAAAGTCAAAACGTATATATTTTTGTTGAAGCCATATTTTTATAGAATTAATTTTTTTGCAAAATAATAAAAATAATTAATATTTTTGAATCAAATTTTAATATTTAATATTTTGAGTCAAGCAATATGTAGGATATCTCCTTCATAAAAATCCTTTTCAGTCTGGGATCATATCAGTTATGCATACGAGTATAGATGCGAGAGGTTTTTCTTGCATTTCGAACACAAATTCTTATTTCTCTCACAGAATTTTTTTCAAAGCTGCCAATGCAATGTGCAAGACTTAATGAAATACTGAAAAGAAATTTTGACAAACAAAACTGAAAATTAAAAAATGTCAAACAAACATTTGGACAGTTAAGCAACAAGCGAGTATCGAGCGTGCTCGAATGTCGAGCTACTCAATGCTCGGGTATGGAGAGACTAATATTTATTGACAAAATAATTTTCCAAAAATTCGCAATATTTTTTCTGGGTACTCTTAACACTTAAGCTCTCCTATAATCCTGCGGTCTTCGCCCGAAACTTCGCTGAATTCTGCTTCTTATCACTGTAGAGCTTTATGTTTTCGCGCCAAAAGATTCTAAAAAAAATTGTTTTGTTTTTGTTTCGTAAAAGAATCAACTTTTTCTGCCAACTAAGTCTTTGGTAAACTACGAGGTGTATTCAAAGAGTACTGAGACTTTTTTTCAATTTTTTTATCCACAGTGATGTTATCACCTCCAAAATAGTCCACATTAGGTATTATGCACGGGTGTCACAGCTTCTTCGTATACTCGAAAGACTTCTCGAACTGGATCTGGAAACTGGAAAGGTAAATAGAAATAAAATTCACGAACATGAGCTATGAGCTATGCTGGTTTTTCACAAATGCGCTTGCCAGGTTGAAGTGGCTACCCGGCATTAGCTTAATTAGGCTCACTCACTAGTTTAAGCTCCGTGTGGAGCTTATTCTCCTAAGTGCAAATTATTCGCAACGGAATCACTTTCAGATATATGCTTATCATCTCTGCGTGGCTACATGTAACATGTCCCATTCTTGTAGATTTTTAGGTGCCTTTGTTGTGGTATGAGCTCTTTAGACTCTTTTTCATTCCATGCCGACCGCATTACCATAGCCATTTGTCAAGACTTGAAAGTTTGTATCTGCGATGAAAGCCCACTCATGTAGCGAGCTTACGAGTGGAGGTCGGTATGCCCGGACTTTCTGCGGCGTCGCTTTATTGCCGAGAGGCCTATAACAGCAGGCGGCTTTCCTATGATGTCGGGTTGAATGCCCAGCTTGCCCTTCTCTACATTTTGAAGCTTCAGTTGCTTAAATGTGTCCTCTAAGGTCTTTCCCAGAAACTCATCCACCTCTAGTTCATCTGGCTCGTTACGGTTGGTAGGAAAATACGGTCTACTATAACTAATGTGACGCACTCCCACATTGAATCATTTAGATTTTCTTTAATTTCCTTTACCCAAGTTTTCATAGAGTTGTTTGGTGCTGTATCCAATCTTGCTCATCCATCAGCCTTAGATCGTTTACACTGCGCTGCGTATGGATTATACCAAAAGTTTGTTGCGTTGCAATGAGAGCTGTTTCTTGGCAGCCCCCCTGGGCATGCAACTGCATCTTTCTTCTACGCATATTTTTATGCCAATTCAGTTCCGAAATTTTTTTTTTTTATTTATGTTTTTTTTTTTTTTAAAGAAAAAAACTTCTCACTAATTTTTTAAATTTTATCTATTTAATTTCATTTAGTTTTTTTTAAGTAGTGTTGATAATATAAGAGATTACGTTAACATTTGGAAGTTCCATATATTCTTATGAAATATAGCACTCGTAACAATAACAAAAAAAAGGAAATATTCAAGAAAAATATATAATTATTATTAAAATATTAATTAAGCTATAACGAAAATCTAATAATTAAAATGCATTGTAGCGAAGAAATGCTTCCATTCTCAGCAAAAAAAAATGTATTGAATAGAAGAAGTTTATAAACAAAGAAACAAAAACTAGAAAACAAATAGAGCTAATTGAAATTACGGTAAAGAAAATAGAGCAAAGCACAAATTGCAGTTTCAACCAATTAACGAAGACAAACAAGATTCCAAAAACACAAAGAAAATTAAAAGTAAATTAAAATAAAATTCAATTATAACAAAAATAGATGATAAAACAATTACATACATATATGAAATAGTGAAAGCTTTAAGTGTGTATTTATGTAATGCCGCAAACGAAATAAGAAAATTCTAATGTAAACATATAAATATGTGAATTTTTAAATAAAATCAACTAACTTATAAAATAGTTAAGTGAACATAAATATTTTAGAAAATTAAAATATATTTTAAGTAAATTAATGGATGTGAAAGGAAACATAGTAGTGCGCGAGGCATAGAAAAACATAGAAAAACGAAAGGAGGAAATTTAATTTCTATAATTTTAAAAAAAAGTTATAGCAATTTTGGCAAGAAAAATACAAAAAAATGTGAAAAAAACCTCAAATTTCTTTCAGCCCGACCTACACACACATCCACACACACTCATGCAAGAAAATTTCACAAAAAAAAACTCCCTCTTTAATTAAATTAATTATTAAAAATATTTCAAAACACTACAATTATGTTTTAATAAAACCAAAAAAAGCAAAAAAAAAAAATATTTATAAAAAATTGTTTTCGCACAATAAATTACGAAGGAAAAAATGTAGTACGAATTTATTTGGTTTCAGCATTCATTTTGCCGTCCCCCAACATACACCAAGTAGATGTTACATTACGCAAAATTTTTGTAAAATTTGAACCCGAAAAAGGCTAGCCTACCAATAAATTTAGACAACTTTTTAATAATAATTTTTTTTTTTGCCACTTACTAGCTTTTTCTTATCCTTGCATCTACTGAACTGTTTCAATATAGTTTAACTTTTACTGATTTTTACTTAATTATTGTTTTTTTCAGGTCATTTTATTTATTTTATTTTTCACCTATATTATTTATAAATAAATTAATTTTCTTTTTTTTTTAATTAAATTTAATTTCAACTGATTTTAGTTTATTTAACTTTATGCATTTTATTTTGTTTAGTTTAATTACCTTTAGTTTAATTTTATTATATGTCATTATATTGTTTTTAATTGTAATTATTATATTTTATTGGATTTAATTTATTTTCATTTTTTTATTTCATACTATTTTGTTTTATTTTATGTTATTTTACTTTATTCTTTTGTTGTATTTTATTGTCATTATTTTATTTTATTTCATTTTATTTATTTTTATCTTAATCTATTTTATTTCATTTTTTGTTATTTAATTTATTTTTACCTTATTTAATTTTACTTCATATTATTTTATTTATTACATTTTATCGTTTTATTTTATTTAAATTTATTTTATTTTATTTTATTTTATTTTATTTTATTTTATTTTATTTTATTTTATTTCATTTTATTTTATTTTATTTCATTATATTTTATCTTGGTTTATTTTATTTTATTTTATTTAATTTATTTATTTTTATTTTCTTTATTTTATTTTTTTAAATAATTTTTATATATTGTATTTGATTT